TGTAGTTAATCCGTCTGTGCTAGATTAGAGATGGGATCATAATGAGCACCTCATTCAAAGACCTCATTCAAATTCCAATCAACTGTTAATGTTTAATTATGTTTAAAATAGTAGCAATAATTCAGTGAAAAACTAATCATACTTACGGACACACACAGGAGTTTGTCCAGACCACTTGTGATCCTGTAGGCAAATTCTGACAGACGTACCAACAAGTCGAAAGCCAGGATTGCACTGGTAGACCACAGTGTCACGATAACTGAAACCATCTCCACTAATATGACCATTTACAATTGGGTCCGGAGAACCACAGTGACCAGCTACAATAAAAGAACAACCTACTAAAAACATATATTTTGACAATCCTTGCCAAAATTTACAAGAAAAAAAAATCAACTTTCAATAAACAATATATTTAGAGTCAAGTACTGCACCGTGCAGAACAAGTTCTCAGGTATAAAACCTACAAATGATATTTCTTGTACTTTTTTGAAGAAGAAAATCATGAATAACAGAAATGAGAACTCTATGATAAAATAATAGTGTGAGTTTGAAAGTTAAAGACCTCACACTTTTCTAAGAAAAATGACAACCTTAATAAGACACTTCACCCTTAAAAAAAGTAGAAGGTAGATATTTCAAAGTGTACTGTCCAAATTGGAAAGCAATATAAGGAAGAGTTTACTATAATTCTTTCATGAATATGAATTTATAAGCATTTTCCAGACTGATGAAGGCATGGAAAGGAAGCAACATCTACCAGCACTGTTTCCTCCTTATTTCAGCTGCTGTTAAAAAACACAGAATGCATTACTCCAGGATAATAGCAGTCTTGGCACTAAGTAATGCTTTAATTCTTTCTGGATTTTTCATTTTGTTTGAAAACAGAGTTGCTGAGCAGGAAACTATTTCTTTTCTTCTGATTAAGGAGGAGAAAAAAGTTCATTTTTTATGACAATTGCAGTAATTTCATCTGAGACTATGCTAAACCTTCATTTTGAGAGGGGAGGACTGGGACCTGAGGATCATGACTGCAGCTAGAATGGTGGGAGGTGTGCGTTATCTTTTGTTTCACACAGGCTATATCCATCAACAGTAACTTGTTTGTAACTTATCTTCTTTGAGATTTAGTCTACTTTCTAATAAAACCCCTTTAATAATGCTAGACAGTATATTACACTCACACTTAATGGCTTCTCTAAAACACAAGAAGGATAAAACATATGCCACTTGATTTGGATTTTTATATGTATAGGATTATTATAATAATCCTAATTGTAGGATTGATGATGCCTATGAGGAAACACTGTGGTACTGTTCTGCAAATTTGTGGAAGAAAGTATGAATGCAAGCTTTTCAAACCCAACTTCTTACACAGCTATTCTTCCCCTCACAACAGAGAATATGAAAACAGAAAGTAAGTAACAAGGACATTGAAAGCATATTTTTCTTCTTGAAATGTCTCATGAAAAATTCATCTTACTGTTCTCAGTCCAAATTAGTAATATGATCCTTCTTACCCTTTTCTCTCCTCCAGCCTCACCCAGCCTATCCTTGTCTATCACGTACTCTAGACCCTAAACCTTCATAGGCCCTTTCCCTGAGTTTGCTTCAGTTTCCCATCTCCCTCTTACATGGTGGAAGACACAAAAACTACACACGATTTTCCACAAGTCTGTTGAAGAGGAAATAATAATCATGACCTGCTGACTGCACTGCTATTCCTACAATCCAGTCTGTGATATTTTTACTGCAAAGCCACACCTTTAACTCTTAGTGGGCCTCTCCACTCAGTCACCTGGGCTGCCTTCTGTAAAGTTTGTCTTTACCCAGTCAGTACTCAGGAAAGGCATTATTCTAGGCAAAGTGAAGGATTATGTATTTGTCTTTGCTGAACTTTAGGAGCTTCCTGTTGGCCCATTCCTCCAGATTCTGAAGATCCTTCTGTTTAGCAGTGCTGATATCCATGTATCAACTATTCTCCCATCATATGCTGTCATCCACAAACTTGTTGAGGCTGCATCCCAGCCTGTTATCCAAATCACTGACAGAGGCTGAATAATATGGGCCTCAGTATTCATCCTCAGTATCCACTGGCTACTAGTCACACTTCAAATCAAGAAACACTACCTTCAGATATTGTTTGTTCAAATACTTTCCATCCATTTTGCAGTCCCCTCATCCAGTCTCTGTCTTCTTAATTGTCTACAAGGATACTGCGGGAGATTTTCAGAAGTTTTGCTACAATAATACAAAGTGAAAGAAATCTACTGCTGAAATCTACATACATCCAGTGAGACAGTCGTTGGAAAAGGCAGCAAGATTAAGGTTTGCTTTTGATTGTTCCATCCTGCCTGTTCCCAATTATCTCTTTATTTTACTTATGCCTGAAAATTGACTTAATTCCTAATACTTGCACTCTAATTTTTTCCAGGGATTGAGGTGAAATAGAAAGGAATGTTTGATTTTTAAAAAATTTCTAGACCTAAATAGTGAAGAACTGAAAACCAGTTGATGCGTTGAAGCCAAACACAGGGAACCACAGCGAATTTCAAGAGGAAAAATAGCTGAGATGTGCCAACAGTCACAGAGAAAAATGCAAATTATTATGCCTTTTCTCTGAAATGGAGATTTAACAAGTTGCTGGACTTACTATGTGAGCAATTTCATCTATAGATATTTCTAAGTACTGTATTTAATAATTTTTTTAGGAAATTTTGCCTCATTTAAATAAAATATTCCAACAAATCAAGAACTGAAAGAGCATTGCAATGACATAAAATGTATGTAATTTTCTCATCAACTAAAATTAGAAAAAAAATAAGAAGTCTGTGAGTGGATTTTTTAATAAAATATGGTCTCGAGAAATCTGTGAAACCTGTAAATTAAGAAAATTTTTTATATGGGTCAAGGTTAGTTCAGTAGTTTTATTGTAAAATACTTGGAAATCAAGATACAAATAATTCTATTTATTTTAATAAGAATTTGAAATATAAGCCGATATCACAATATCATACTGTGATTTACCTAGAATTATCAATTACAGGATCAGATATTTTTACAAAAGTACAGTCTGCAGCAGCATTTTTTCACATTGATAAATCTAGGGAATTATACATATTATAATTAATAATGAAGTAGATTATATTTAACTTAAGATTTTAAAGAATCTCCTTGACTTGTTTATTTGTAATTTTGCACCTGAAAGTCATAAAAAGTCAGTGAAAAAAAAATGTGTTTAGGAAAACACACTGATCCATGATTAAGTGCCACTAATCATACAGAAGGAGTTAGGCAATCCTAAAAGTTTCCAATTTGTTGTCTGTCCTACATGTGATCACTCATACACACAAAGCATGGATAAAAACACGTTTTGTGACTTTTAGATGCAATTTATTTCTGTAAGGAAAAAAAGGGAAGAGATAAAATATCAGCAGTGTGAGTAACTGAGTGAAATTGAAAGAAATTTTATCTAACAATTCATATTTATATTTGCATAACTAAGAAAAAAATACATAAATACATATAATACTAACAACCTGAAGACTTAGGGCTCATATTTAGCCTTAGGCTCATTAACTACAGTCATTGATTTTAGCTTTCTTTTGAGACAAATAATAAGGATTTGACAAATTCTTTCCCATGGTACAGAAATTAGTGTACTCATCTGCCCTGAAATCATAAATTAATTCTACACAGACCAGTGGGTAACATAAAGTGATGCATATTTTCAATTACAGCTGTCCTGAATTACATTCATGCAGGTACAGTATAGGTAAAAAGCAACTCTAACTCATTATCATTCCTTTGAAAGGAAAAGACTCATCCAGAGCTCCCTAGGTGTTTGCCTCCTGATTTTTACAGGCTTCAGGTAAGTCCTAAAGGCACCTCTGGAATAAATTTGGGACATGTTGTCCTCAAAATTTAGGAATACACCACTAGCAGCATTTGCATCTCACTTTAAAGTTTAAGAATTTATCTTTCCTGAATTCACTCTGGAGGAGCCTGTATAGTTCCACTGACCTTGTTGGGAATTTAGGAACTTAGATTGTACTCTAAATTGCATCTAAATTAGATGTCTAAAGTACATTTTGTGAATATACCTTATGTGAGAGAGTGTAAGAGAGGCAGGGAGGGGTTTAGTAGCAGAAGTATGACTTTCTGCAGTATGCATGTGATAACGCAAATTTAGACTTTCACAATCCAAGCTGTGCAGTATTTTTGGCACTATAGACCCTGTCTGATTTTGAAATAGCAAAGATTAAGTAATGATTAATGACCTGCCAGCTCTGAATGTGAACTTTTTTTGTCTAATGAGGTAAATCCATGTGTTTAACAGTTATAAGCTGCATACGAATGCATAGAGCTGCATTCAGCAATGAAATCAATCAAATAGAAACCAAAGTCCACCAAAGTTTTTAGAAAAAAGAATTGGGAAATATTGTAAGACAAGCATTGCTTTTATTGCAGTAACAGTTCCTGAAAGAGGTCCTGTGCTCATTACAAGTGGGACTAGATCTGTAGAAATAATTTTAAACACAGAATGCAGATAGTCAGGTGGGAAAAAAAAAGTTTTTAGTTATGACCAAGGGGATAAGATAATAGTAGTGGATACCAATTTCAATGTGAATTTGTAAAAAACTGAAACAGAAAAAATCCAACAGGAAATTACTCCTGCAGAGGAAAAGGATGAATTCATATAAATTAAATTCAAGCTGTATATAGAAATAGTCTTTCCTAACTATGAAAATAAAATGGAATTGTTCACTATGCACTATGTACTGAGGCTACTGTGGACAGCTAATATTCTGGGGTATTCAGTGTAAAATTTATTTCTCAATATCAGAACAGAAGAAACCTCTTTTCCAGCCTTCCATGGGCAAGAGTAATTTATAATACAAACAGAATCCATTGAGATATGTGTATGTTGGCAGCCAAATTATCCAAATTAGCCTGCCAAAAAAAACCCAGTACCTAAGTCCTAAATACTATTATTATTGATCAGATTATGAAGTGGTATTTCAGGTTATTCAAAATGAATGAATGTTAACACATATCTTTATGCTTGAAATCATTATATGCAGGTGTCAGGCAATACTCTGGCAATGAATGGTATAACACATTGCAAAAATCTACAGGGCTAATAGCTCTTTTCTTTTTTTTTTTTTTACAATAGTTTACATGTTTGCAACAGAAGAAATGGCTATGGAAAATACTCTTACAAATACAAATTGGTATTTCAGGTTATTCAAAATGAATGAATGTTAACACATATCTTTATGCTTGAAATCATTATATGCAGGTGTCAGGCAATACTCTGGCAATGANCATTATATGCAGGTGTCAGGCAATACTCTGGCAATGAATGGTATAACACATTGCAAAAATCTACAGGGCTAATAGCTCTTTTCTTTTTTTTTTTTACAATCTAGTTTACATGTTTGCAACAGAAGAAATGGCTATGGAAAATACTCTTACAAATACAAATTTTGGGCTGTTGGATCTTCACAGCTGCAGTTCCATCATATTTTAAATTTCAGTCAGCCTCAGTCCAGGGATAATCTGACACCAAGAGAAAGCTGATGTGTTTTCAGATTCAATCACCTGTATAGTTCCACTGTGGAACTGATGAACTTATGTATGTGAAAAAATAATGCCAAATTATAACATTCCCCTAACCAGCACTTCAGTGTAATTCTTATTCCTAGGTAAAAAAAGATTTATTTTACCCCTTTGCTGCTTTAAATATTAAAAAAGGTAGCAATTAGAATACTCTGTTTATGCCTTTATTTCCTAAATCAAAATGACATAATTCTTAATACAGCATATTTTAAATTAAAAAATAATGTGTGAAAATATATCAAGCCAGAGAATTATTCTTTTTCACAACATTTCCCAGAAGTAATTGCATTTTGATGGAAATTCTGTAATAATGAACTGACATTTAGAAGTTAGGTTAGCTCTATGAGACCATGGTCACAATTTTTGACCACAAGTCCCTGTTAGGGCACCATTTGAGGTGCTTGTTGTTGCACGAACCCCACTACTCACACCAAGGAGTGCGAGAGCAAGATTAAGATTTATTATAAATACAGTGCTTAAAACGTGTCACATGATCGTTCAACCAACGACATTAAAGTACTTCATTGAGCGTGCGTGAGAGCCCAGAAAATTGCAAGTCCCAAAATCCTTTGCTACATTTCTTCCTGCTACACTCCATATCTTGAGAGCTGACATATTGTAAAATTATATCCACAAAAATTGTAATACAAACATTTCTGTTGCAAAATTAAGAAGTTAATTAGTAATATATTATGAAAGGTTATAAAATCTTAATTCAAATCAGAATACATTATATCATGTTGGTTTTTTTTCTGAAAACATTCTGTCTTTATTTTCCTTTCTTCTACAGACTTGTATCTGAATCAAAAGAAAGAAAAAGGCAATCAACAGGGCAAGCAGAACACAAAGTGTGAGATTTTATCCCTGACTTGGAGAAGACTCCCACATTTCTGTATTTCTCCTTTACCCCACCAAATTTTCTGCTCTATATTGATGAAGAATAGAGTTAATATGGAACTGATAAATTCACTTTCTTTTTCATGAAGTTTAGATTATTATGCTTTTGTCTGTTAGTGCATTATTGTCTTGTAACTTGTAACCTGTTTAGGAAATATTTTCTCTAAAAGTCTTTTTAAGGCATTAAAGATCTCCAGAAATGCAGGATGTTGTCACTAGTACTCTGTTAAAACTCATGTTTATCTTACGATACCTGCTATTCTTAATAACTTTCTAATATGAAATTTATGATACTTGGAAGTTGTTTCTTTGAAGACATGGTTGAGTTGGTATTTGGTCCCATCACACCTGGTTATTGTGATGCAGATGTTCTCCTTTTAATAGATTATTCTACCAGGAGAATGTTGCTGTGTTTTAAAATGCAGCTCTGGTTTGCTATGTTTTGCTCTGGAGAACTGTAACCATTTCTTTCAGCTTTGCATCTTGGTGAGAGCAAGAACTCAAAGCTCAATAAATGCAAATACCCTTTATGATAGTTCTATGAAGTATCTTTGCTTAGATAGTTAATACAAACCAGCATAGACTTATTAGCTGTGTCTATAGGGTAATGAACACCATCAACCTGGTAGGCCAAAGGTCTATCTGAGCACAGAAACACCGTGACACTATTAATGTTGGGAAAGTTAAAAATGGAATCAGGTGCCTAAGAATTCTAACCAACCATTTGATATTAGTTCTTTAGGTATATGTAAAACTTCTTTCTCACTTTATTTTTACTTGGTTCATGGAATGACAACATCAGGGTTTCATGGATGGCATGAAGGTTTAAAGAAATGATTCTCAGAAGATTTTTTTTCCCGTGTTTTGATTTGAATTAATTTCTTGAGAAAAGACAAACTGTTATGTTTAAAATGTACTAGACAGGCATATTTTCTGCTAAAATGATGTGGTGAGGCAGCAGAGAAGAAAGGTGTTTTTTATCAGAGGTGGAACTCTGGAGAAGAAAGAGGAGATTCCTCCTTTCCTGAGAGCAACTGAGTACATTTAGCTATAAGGCAAGAAGAAAATCTGCAAAATGAGGGCAGACAAAGCAAATAACAGATTCCAGAAATAAATACACTGTCCACAATCAAGAATAAACCCACTACTGATCCTCAAAAGTTACTCAAAAAGAAAACCTTTTTCTTATGTCTATATTAGGAGTGTAAAGCAATATGAGTAGATCTAAAGAGAGAGAGAACAGGGATGAGAACTTAAGGTCCAAAATGCATAAATCCTAGGGTTTGAAAGAGTGTTGATTTTGCTTCACTTATCTCTTGTCTGCTTTCCTTGACTGAATGCTCAATATGGTGAACACTCATTTGCAGTTGGAATTTATCAGTAATGCCCCTGAACTGAAGCTTATCTTCCAATTTAGTTTCATCACATACACTGTTCCACAAAGAAAAGTGCTGTGAATGTGGATAATAATTGGAGTCACTTAAAAACCCAACTGGTTTGAAAAGCACTGCAACAATATAAAATATAATTTAATTTCTAATAAAAAGATATATGCTAGTAGAATAGCACAAAATCATATGCAGTACGCAGTATTTCCATATTTAAGATACCTTTATTTTTCATTGATTTAAAAAAGTTGTTGCTTGATAAGCATTAGTCCTTGATACTGTTTCTTTAAGACAAAACAAAACAAGGGACAAAAATTTGATTTTGTTACCTAGGCATTGCGTTTCTGTACCACTCCAGAGACCATTTGCCAAGCATTCTCTCACATGAGAACCAACTAATGTGTATCCTGTGTTACAAGTGAATATTGCAGTAGCTCCATACACTGTTAAGGTTCCAATCTTATTTCCATTTGGTGGAGATGGAAGACCACCACAGGAGATAACTAGGAAAAAACAAGCAACAGAACAAACTGAAATATGAAAATGTTTTTCATAATTTTTTTAGACTGGAAGACAAAAAGATTAAAAAGTAAATATAATAGGAAAAATATAAGAATATAAGAATAAATTAAAAAATAAGAATAAATTCTATTATAGCACAGAAAGGACTTAAAATTATGCTTGATTTGAAAATACGTGTTCTAAATCTGAAAATTCAGTGGAATACTTTCATATCTTGACAGCAGCTTAAACTCAATTCTTCAGTATTTTCAATTGGTATTTCCAATGCTGAAACAAGGGAATCACATGAATTCCCAGGAAAGTTGTGGTTATATTCATGTGTGCATACTCATGGCTATTTCTCAAATATATTTTCCCCGACCATTTTAAGTCTTGTGTCTATTTAAAAATATTATATATCTTTTTAACATGTAGAACTCTGAATTGCTATGAACTGTCTTTTTTCTTATTTCCCACTACTATTCATAAGCATATAACATATGTGTCAGTCTACTTGCTAAAATGATGTATCTTCTGATTTTGTTTAAGGCTAGACTTGACCCACTATCATACAAACCTTCTGTGGCATCAGCTGCAACACAGAGCTATCACACATCACACGAAAAATTACCTTTTAGGAATGTATCAAACTCTAATCTAATTAAAACCATTCTGTCATTTCTTCTGTTTCTAGAAAAATATATCAATAATATTTTAATTCAAGATACAGACCAATGACTTCAAAAGCTTGAGCTCTGTTCTATTCTATGTTAGCGTGAATCATGGGTTTACTTTCAAAAGCATATTAATCACAACTAAACTTCCTATCTGAAACATAAAGGGCCCGTTATTCTATATTTTAAAAGGTTCACTATAGGAAACAACATGGAATTGGGTAGAAGTTGGATAAAATCAAGTACAAGCCACTGTGCAGTTAATTCAGTCATAATCAGAATATATGTGATCACAGTTTCTTGTGCATAGAAGGTGTCCAGAGATGAGTAAGACTATTTTTGACTACGATAGAGGCACAATAATGTAATCTGTGGATTAGCCTAACTTTATAATTTCTAATGCTAATGCTGAATATTAATTGCACTTCTACATCTGTTTAAAAAAATTAACTCTATTCCTAAAATGCAATGGAATTGACTGTTCTAAACATATTACAAATGCTTTATTCATTTTAATTACAGAGATTCCAGTTTAAAATAGTTAAATACATAAATAATGAGCTACCTCATGACATGTTAGGCATCTGTTCAGCATATTTGTAAAACAATAAACTTACTAATTAGGTCTCAATCTAGAATGCCCTCTAATTTGAAGCTTTGCAATGCCTTGAGAGATACTACTGACAAGTCGATATTGATAAATATGATCTAAATGCCTTATCATCAGTGTTTCAATTAGCTTTTCTACTGCTTCAGGAATATAAACAGCTAGAATCTATATTTATATAATCTATCCTTAGCATGTGAATGACATAGAGAAAGTAAACAGTAGACTCCTCAAAATACTTTAGTGCGTTTCTGGTTCTTAATGATTATATCCAGTGGAAATATTACTGAACGTTTCTAGGGGGATGATGTTTGCCATAATTTAATCCTAAGAAGTCCTCTAGCAGAGGGCAAAATAATGTAACTTTCTTATAAATGAACTAATGTATCTTCAGTCAGAAACTCCTTGTGTTTCTCTATCTAATACTTTGCTTTTCGTTAACTGCATCCCATGTGGGTCATCCCATTTTCGATTTATATAAAATTCCTGTAAGCTAAGCAAGAACTAGCTTTTCAAAGACTTCTCAGCAGCTGAACAGTAGCTGCATATTAGGTAGTAAATACAAAATTAGATTTTTTAGTATGTGTGCACACAAGAAAAAAGGGAAGAGTTCCAGTTAACTGAATAAAAAACTCAGTTTTAAATTTAAAAATGAAATTGATATAACTATTACTGTTTTTTAAGACACATAGAAGAGTTA